CCCGGGGCGGCCACCCCAGTTCGCCCCAATGGTGGGTCCGCCACTGAATACGAGGATGGTTGCGAACTGGGCGTAGCTCAGATGGTTACATTACTTGTGGTGGAGCCAATCCGTCAGGGTTCAAGATGTTCCGGCGATGCTCTTTCAGTGAGAAAAATTTGTGATAACTTCTCTAGTCTCAAGACATTGTGCTGGCTCAATATCACATAGGAGCTCCGAGGTATAGTGTGCATGCATGCGTTTACAAGGATGATCCTACGTAAGCATCTTCCAAGTGTACCGTGTTAAAAAAATAGTAGGAAGATTTTAATCTGGTGGCGGAGAGCGAGCACCGGCCCACTGCTTCGAGCCTTTGATCATGGGGCGCCTCGTGTCGACCCTTTCCTGGGTGGCACGTTAATTAAAGGATAACTACGTAATGACCTAGTTTTTTATGCGGAGTACGTAATGTAGCTTTGACTAGCTGAACAACCCGACAAATCACTAACTTCTACATTTGGTTCACTGATCACCATAACTTCAGGAATCAGGGATTTGCAGAAGTTATCCTTGGAGAGTACGCGAAATACTTGTTCATGGTGGCAGTGCGCAACAAAACTGTGATAATACAGGCATATTTTTATGGCTTGTGTAGATAAAATGATGTCTTGTGAAAAACATTTTTTAACACTGGATTTTGTCTTTTTACACACGACACATAACTTATCGGTTTTTCGCGAAACAACTTTATGAGCATGTACAATATCAAGATGTACGCGTCAAGTTTTTGTTTGGAATTTTTTGATATTTCAAAAAATATGTTTAAAACACGTTTTAGAAACCAGGGTGCGTGCTCCCCATGTGCCAAAACGCCACTCTCCATATCTGCATATGTATATTGCAGCTACAAGCCTACGAGCACCACTAATTCACATTTCTGGTGTCCAGTAGCTCTATAAATCCAATCAACTGTTTTCTTGAGATTGAAAAAGGAAAATCTAGAGCTTGATGTAGGCATGTATCAAGGTTTTAAATAGTCTGCTATAGCGTTGTAACTGCTCTTGGAGAGTGCTCCCGCCAAGCTATGTAGTACTTTTAAGGTGAAAATAACCACCACCGCAAGAAAAAGGTAAAAATAACTAAAAGCCTGCTAAATCCCGCTATAGAACTAAATTTAAAGTCATTTAGTGCCGCTAAATAAGTGATTGTGTATGTAATGTATAGTATACGATGAGTGATTGTGTATTTATGTTTCCAGTTTTCATAACTTCTCGCTAGCCACCGCTAAATAAGCACAGTGTCGTGCAAGCTTTAGACTGATTGCGACGCTAAGCGCGCGTTAATCATCACTCTCCCTCTTGGAGCCGCCGGGGAGCCTCTCCTCTCGTGCATGCGGCGCCCTGCATGTATGTATCCGTTCCATTCCGCCACCTTCCCAGCTGCCACCCACCCTCCCGTCGTGTCGTGGCCGCTCCTTTCCTTCCCGCTATTTAAAACCACACACACTCACCCAAATCTAAACCCCTCGCCTCATTGGCTAGCTAGCAGCAGCCAAGTACTACAACTACAAGGTCGGCCTAGAGGGTCTAGAGATCGTTCGATCACACACTGACCGATCGATCACTGCGACTGCGTGCCGGCTTGATCGGTGCCTAGCTCGGTCTAAGCAGAAGCAGGCATGGTCACCATGGGCAAGAAGGTAGACGAAGAACAGAGCTACTACAGCGACTGGGCCCACATAGACCACGGCGTCGACGCCGACGGCCGCGCCACGGAGCTGCGGCCGCTGGCGCTGTCCCGGCCGCACACGCAGGCGTTCCACCTCGCCTGGCTCTCGCTTTTCGCCTGCTTCTTCGCCGCCTTCGCCGCGCCGCCCATCCTCCCGGCGCTGCGCCCGGCGCTCGTCCTCGCGCCCTCCGACGCCTCTGCGGCCGCCGTCGGCTCGCTCTCCGCCGCCCTCGTCGGCCGCCTCGCCATGGGCCCCGCCTGCGACCTCCTCGGCCCGCGCCGGGCGTCGGGGGCCGCCAGCCTCGTCTGCGCGCTCGCGCTCGCCCTTGCCGCCGTGTACGCGTCCTCGCCCGCGGGCTTCGTCGCGCTGCGCTTCTGCGCAGGCCTCTCGCTCTCAAACTTCGTCGCCAACCAGCACTGGATGTCCCGCATCTTCGCGCCCTCCTGCGTCGGCCTCGCCAACGCCGTGGCCGCGGGCTGGGCCAACGTCGGCAGCGCCGCCGCGCAGGTCGTCATGCCGCTCGCCTACGACCTCATCGTGCTCCGCCTCGGCGTGCCCATCACCGTTGCGTGGCGCGTCGCCTACCTTATCCCGTGCGCAATGCTCATCACCACCGGCCTCGCCGTGCTCGCCTTCCCATACGATCTCCCGAGCGGTTGCGCCTACGATGGAGGTGCCAAAGCCGCCAAAGGGGAGGGCTTCTGGAAGGTGGTGCGAGGAGGAGTCTGCGACTATCGGGCGTGGGTGCTGGCGCTCACCTATGGCTACTGCTACGGCGTGGAGCTCATCATGGAGAACGTGGCGGCCGACTTCTTCCGCAGACGGTTCCGGCTGCCCATGGAGGCCGCGGGCGCCGCCGCGGCGTGCTTCGGCGTGATGAACACCGTGGCGCGGCCGGCGGGAGGGGTGGCGTCCGACGTGGTTGGAAGGCGTTTCGGTATGCGGGGGAGGCTGTGGGCTCTCTGGGCCGTGCAAAGCACCGGCGCGGTCCTTTGCGTTCTGGTCGGCAGGATGGGTGCCACGGAGGCTCCGTCGCTGGCGGCCACGATGGCGGTGATGGTGGCGTGCGGGGCGTTCGTGCAGGCCGCCTCGGGGCTTACCTTCGGCATCGTTCCCTTCGTCTCCAAGAGGTAAAGACAATTTTCCGCTTAATCCTTAATCAAATACCTACATAAAATTAGCTACACAGTATCATTTAGCTTGTTTATAATTATGAAATATTTATGGTTATAACGTTTTATGTATGCATGGTATACTTACATATGTATAGTTACGTTTGTAACTTCTCTCTGTAAACTACTCCCTCCTCATAATATAAGAGCGTCAAAACGCTTTTATGTTATGAGAAGTGATAGGGAGTATAAGATATTTTAAACCACTAAATTTGGTAATTAAGCAACCTCAAAACAATAACAAAAATATACAAGTTGGCGATGGATGAAAAGATAAGCGGGTAGCTACCTAGCGTGAGATTAAAGGTGTTGAGTGTTTGACTAGCTAACAACGCCTGAACCACGAGTTAGCTAGGAGGATTCGCGCCGACGACAAGCTTCCAGTGGATCTAAAAGGATCTAAAACAGAATCCTTGTGTAGTAGCACAGTGTCGCTGACGTCGACGTTGCTTTCTTGCATTTATTCAAAGATAGCAACGGGCGGAGATTCCTGGTAAACTTAGTTGAAATCCCATTTATAAACAGAAAGAGACGCGCCTTGTTGCGTAAGGTGTGGTGCACATATATGATCATGCTTGACCAGTAAGAGATCTACCATGCATGTATGTGGAGGCCGGCAATCAAGGAGTCGTTGTTTTGTTTTAGATCATGTGCGCCTACAGAGCTAATATAAGGTCTCCTTTTTTCTGGAAGAGGATTTATAGCACCAGGTTGCTCCACCCCCCTATATGAATATTAAGTTCAAAAACTATTAGGAAATTTGAAAAAAAAAGAGATTTTGCATATCAAACTTCGTTGTCCGATCTACTTTCGTGTGAAATTTTGTGAAAAAATACCAAAAAACATATCCATGGCAATAAAACACAAAAAAAATCCTATATATTAAAAAACTATTTGGATGACTGTATTTCCTTTGCCATGGAAACTTCACACGGAAATAGATTGGGCACCCAGGTTCGATATCCCCAAATTCCAGATTGTTTTGCATTTTTTGCTACTTTCAAAATTTAATATTCATGTAGGAGTGTGGAGCACCCATGAGCTCCTGTGCATTTCCCCTCCTTTTCTCGCAAAAATAAATAAATAAGGTCAGAACAACCAAGTTAAGATTATGATGCAGCAAATTATGACATAACTTGCTCAAGAAACCAACCAAATTTTCTATGTATTCATACAATAAGCGGGTAATCTAATATAACTAAGTGATCATCTTAATCTATTTCTCTTAGCGTGCGAACATGTCGCCTTAATGTGCAACTATGCAAGTGAAAGGTCCACGCAACATATAATGTTGCACAGGAAAATACTTAGTCATTTCCACTAGATTATGCAACTTTAGTCGGTAAATATTTTTACGACTATACAATAATCAAATACAATAGACTATATGCATGTTCTGTTTCTGTTCTCATATGGTTAATCAAAAAATTCATGTTATATACAACTAAATTTCACTTAAAATATACTGCAGCCAATTTCTACAACGACGCATGTGTTATCATCTAGTTAAAATGGATTTGGTGAATTAATCGATGCAGGTCGATGGGCGTGGTGTCTGGTATGACGGCGAGCGGCGGGGCTGTCGGCGCGATCGTGACAAACCGGTTGTTCTTCAGCAGCTCCAGGTACACGGTGGAGGAGGCCATCTCCTTCACCGGCCTCACCAGCCTCCTTTGCACTCTCCCTGTGGCGCTCATCTATTTCCCACGCTTGGGAGGAATGCTTTGCGGCCCCTCGGAATCCGACACCGTCGCCCATGATGGTCACGATGACGACGACGATGTAAACAAGGATGATGATTACATGCTTCTAAAATGATGTGGCAGCTTGGTAGCTCAGCCTGTAAATATAAGGATAGATGGATAGGTACATGCTTCTGAAATGGAAATGAAAACGGAAAGGAAAACTCCGCACAATCTCTCAAGACTCTGAACTACATGTGATGCATTGTTGCACTACTAGTGGCCAGTTCTTTTGGTGGCTTTTTTAGGCTTCTAGAATAACTTGTCCCCTACCCAGCTTATTCTAAAAGCCCAACCAAAAATACTTTTTGTTGGGCTTTTCGAATAAGTTGGATAGGGAGCAGCTTATTCCAGCTTATTCTAGAAGCCAGCAAAAGAACTGGCCCTAGAGGTAGGCTAACGGCAAGGGTAAGCTCACATGTGTCGTCCCAATTTTTCGATTTGGTATGAAAAATGGGGCTTTTTTTTACCATGGCACCAAGGGCACTTTCCATTTGTCCGTTGTTAGGATTGAGTTTTGAAGTACTAGAGGGAGAGGGAGCTTGAATAGTCACATCACAAAAAAAATTGGGCAATTTTTAAGAAATGACTTTCTAGGAGGTTCTTCGGAGAAGTTGACAAGTAACGCCATCTCCAAGGCTGACCCCCAAATCGGACACCGTATCCATTCACGAACCAGTATGGACATGTGTCCGGGCATTGATACGGGAGCCCGCCATCCAAAGCTAGTCGCAATCGTCTGGTCACATTTGTTGCAAATTCAACAAAGTGGGCAACTTTCGGTCAAAATTAGATAATGTTTACATAAAACCTGATGTTTGCATCTAAAACAGATCACATTCATTACATTTTCGACATATTTCAACTAAACCCTATTCTAACCTACTCTAAATGATCACGGGGGCTCATTCCCCATGACATGTCTTCCGCATGTCCGGCAGCAAGCTCGCTAGCCGGCCATGATCCCCTGAAGAATAGCCTCCGCCTCCGCGAAGCGGGCAAGCTCACCGGTCGATTACGAGCCCACCAGGTTTAGCTTCAGCGGGAGGGTAAGAGTAGTGGCCTTCCACTACTAGGGAAAAGCCTAGCAGCAGCGCGGGTTTTGGGCCTATCAGTAGCGCGGGCAGGAGCGCTACTGATAAGGCGCTACAGCTAATGCTTAGCAATAGCGCGTCTTGACCCACGCTACTGCTAAATTGACTTAGTAGCAGCGCTTCTTCAGAACATCGCTACTGGTAATTAGTAGTATAGCTTCTCCTCACCCGCGCTACTATTATTATTTAGTATTTTATTTCTTTTCTTTTTCATGTTATATTCATACACCTTTACACAAGTTTTCATACAACAGGAATTTAGAGATTGTTTTTACATCATAATGAGTTATTACATCATGGGGTGAAAGAACCGTGAACTAGTTTCAAGTGGATGTCCATCCACTTGAAACTAATCCTCGGTTCTTTCACCCAATGATATAATAATATCATCATCATCATCATATCATTAACAACTTAGCATCATAATACATCATTGTCATATAACACCTCCTCAAGATCATCGTTTTCATCATTGACATCACATAACACCTCCTCAAGATCATCATTATCAACTCTAACACATTACCACATAATAAACATATTGTACCTCATAGGACCTATTACATTCGATTAAGACCTACTCCCTCCGTCCGGGTTTATTAGACCTAAAGACAACTTCTCTTAGACCAAGACACATAGTAATTTGCTCAAATTAATTCTTTCATTCCATTTCCAATGCACTCTCTCACATGCATGCAGCTAATGAAAAAGCACGCATGAAGTGTATTAATTTTCCAGTCATGACACCAACAATAATGACTTTCAATGCAACCAATGAAATGGTTGCATGCATGCATCTTTCTAAAGCAAGGCCTTATAAAAAAGGACATGCTTGTGATGCTAAGAGGCCTAATAAACCCGGACGGAGGAAGTACTACATTTTCTAAGGTAAAATAGCAAAAAACAAGATAGCCCCTGACTCTCCATTATGGAGAATGGAGATTAGCCTGTCTCCAATTCTTGCCTTTCGCTGAATGTTACTTCCAAGAACCTCCTTGCAAATGTCCATACATTTCTTCCATTCTTTGATGATCATGTGTTCACGGGTTTTAGAAATCCGATATGCACAGGTGAGCTCCGTAGATTTACCTGGCAGTATGTTCAGAACTGAGAGGCGACCATGCAGAGACATCAGATGAGGCACACAATCCATCGGGAGTTTCTGTTGAAAAACATAATAATAACTTCGTAGTTAGCAATGATGTACTAGTTTTAGAAGTATGCAAAAGATGCACGGATGTCGTAATAGTAAAAAATCTTACCAGGGTATCTCCAGAGAAGTTATCGTGGTTCAACACATGCACTAGTGGCACGTATTCACCATAATTTGGAGGAGTTCGATAATAGTCATTGTAATTCTCAAGAAGAGTACAAAATGCGATCAGATGATTTTTCTCCTTATATGTTAATTCGGTGCCATCGGTGTAGTGTGTTTTATCTACGATTTTTCGCACAGTCTTTGAAGAATCAAAATAAGCTGTCAATGGAAATAAGCTATCAACTATTTTGAAATAAACAATATAAATTAGTTAATAACTATGTTTGAGAAACTCACATAGCGGTACAATTGGAAGCGTATCAACAAGGACCCAAATATCCATATTGTCTTCCTCGCTGTCAGGATCACCAAGATCCATGGTAACAATCATACCCTCATAAAAACCATACATTTTGCAAAGTGCTTCCCAATTTTGGCAACCAAAATGGGTTACGCTCTGAGCATTGCACAGATTTACTTCGAAATCCATATCATGATGGGTCCTTAGGTGTATTTTCTTTGTTTCGAAATTTTCATGGTCTTCAAAACCCATCCTCACCAAGACATAGCGTCTTGCATGGCATGGGATAAGCTAGTCGAATTGTAAAATATGAGAATTAGACATTGAAATAGTTGAAGTCATGCTTAATTACGAAAAAAACACTTGTCGTTGTTGCGTACCGTTTCACAATCGAAGGTCTCCTCGAGCTTAATGCTGAAGCGCCGATCTTCGTCCAGCCAAACGAACCTGTCGCACATACCTCGATCGTCGTGGCAACAGCTACACTCCCCTGGGAGACCGTCGTCGTCCGAGTACGACATTTCCTACAATCATAATTCAAAGATTAAACTTGTACATATTCTAGCACAAGTCATGCCAGAATTCACGACAAAATCCGGCATGACCTTTGCTAAAAAAAGACATATCGAGCGCCTGAAATTTGCCGGACCGGAAATTAATCAACACTCCGGCAAAACATAGGCCACTCGGAGATGTAAACTGAACATGAACGGCCACTTGGGCAAACACATATCCTATTTGAGCAACAACACAAGATATACAAGGATATTTGGCTGGTCTCACCTCAATGTCGGAGGGGCCGGGGTCGGTGACGGGGACGACGGCGGGGATGTCGGAGGGGGTCGGTGACGGGGACGACGGAGGTCACCTGAAACCATATAAGTTATCACTAATACATCCCGAATAATTGCTTAAAATAAAAAATAACAACAAATATGACATGTTCAACTAGTTTTATTAATTCAACTAGTTCTTACTAAATATAAACTTACTATAAATAGAAAAAAACTAGTTCTTTCTAAAAATAAATTAGTTCAACTAGTTATATTAATTATCTTACTAAAAATAGATTAGTTCTGTTAATTCAACTAGTTCAACTAGTTTATTAATTTACTTACTAAACTAGTTCAACTACAACTAAATAGTTCAACTACCACTACTACTACTAAAAATCTAGTACTAACTAAGCAACATCTAGTACTAGCTAACCCTAAATTAACATCTACTACTACAAAATCTAGTACTAACTAGTGGCAGGGGGTGGGGGCGACGGAGAGGTAGCTAGGGGCGGCGAGGTCGAGGACGGTGGGAGGAGGGCTGTCGGCGGAGGAGGGAGGAGGGGCGGCCGCAGGCGGGGGGAGGATGTGCGAGGAGGATGGAGGAGGGACGGAAGGAGGGGAGTACCTCGGCGGAGGACGGACGAAGGCGGCGGCGGCGGCGACGCACGACGACGGTTACGCGGGCGAGAGTGAGAGTGTGAGTGAGAGGGCCGGTCGTGCGCGTGGGGATAAGGTAGGGATAGTTGTAGCGCTTTTGCCAAAACGCGCTACAGCTAACCTGAATAGCAGTAGCTCTGCTTAGTAAAGTGCGCTACTGCTATAACTAGCGGGGGGGCGAGGTCATGGCAACTATAGCAGTAGCGCTGTATGCGGTGGACGCGCTACTGCTATTTTCCTGTCAGCAGCGCGTTTTGGCGACACGCGCTGCTGCTAAATAGCAGTAGCGTGGTATTTTGAAGAGTGCTGCTGGTAAGATTCTGTGTATAGGCTTTTCCCTAATAGTGTTCACCTCCACAAAACGGGCAAGCTCGCTATCTATATATGACCTGTGAGGCCCGACACGATGGTGGTAGTGGCCTTCCTGGGACCCAAGCACCAGCGTCATCCCATATTCTGCTCTTCCTTGCTATCAGCGGCGGCCGTGGATGTGCCAGCCTCGTCATCATGGCGGCGGGTCATGACCGATGTGGAGCGGGCGACATCATCGGTGACGCCGTCAAATTCCTTCACCCACCGCATCGATCTTCGTGACATAGCTTCTTTCTCCTCCCGGAGAACACGGAGACGCCATCACATGAGGCGGAGTTTGTGGGAGACGTGGTAGGACAGGAGCAGCGCCTTCTGCTCATCCACGTCCACGACGCTGCCCATGCTGGCGATTGCTCTTCCACGGGATGACGCTCATTGAATATCCTTTGCCATGGATACGTTTTCTGGTATTTTTTCACGAAACTTCACACGGGAGTAGATTGGGCACCCATGTTCGATATCCCCAAATTCCAGATTGTTTTGCATTTTTTGCTACGTTTAAAATTTAATATTCATGTAGGAGTGTGGAGCACCCATGAGCTCCTGTGCATTTCCCCTCCTTTTCTCGCGAAAATAAATAAATAAGGTCAGAACAACCAAGTTAAGATTATGATG